TTATTCATTATCTCTTTATAGAGAGTTCTGAGTCTATTATTTCTCTATTATATATTAACACTGTGTATCAATCAGTTTCACTTTCATGAAGATGCTTTATATAGTGTAATTGAATGTATTAGTTAAACTGTTTAATCTCACAGCATTCTTAATATCTTTCTTAAATTAAGAGATTGTCTTATCAACACAGCTATTTAGTTTATAAAGATTGAATTTCAACCTTTTATCAAGATTAGAATCTCATGTGACTGTACAGACTGTTAAGATAGTAATAGAATAATTGTTAACATTCTGTGATTAATCTGTAGAGAATCTCTGTTAATGAAGTTTTTTCAGTTATAGTTTGAGTTCTAGAACTCTACATCTCTTCTTCTTCATTTTAAATATTATCTTGAGATGTTTCATCTGTTGATCTAATATTGTCTTACTCAAACAGTCAACTTCATGAGAATCAGTATCAAGCTATTGAGTAGATTGAGAGGCCGGCCTGACTGTGTCAGAAGCTGTATTCAAATCAGTTTTGAATTAAGAGAGTGTTTTGAGATGTTCATCAATGAAGCTTTCAAAAGCTTCAGAAGAATGTTCACTAACAGAGTATAAGTGTGAATTGAGAAGAGTAGTACATGAGTGAGACTTGGTGTTGATGTTTTGAAATATCAAAGATAGACAGGGTTTTCATAAAAGTTACTTCTCAAATATCTTTACAATTGCAGATCAGAGATCTTTCAAAATCAAGAAGATTGATGCATATAACTAGGTCTCTTCACCTTACAATTTGTATGACACTTTGGCCCGGGGTTGTGATGTGATAGAGGTGAACAGGGGATAATCTCACATAGAAGTTTCAAACAACATCTGGTTCACATTTGACTGAATAGCTCCATCATCTCACAGGGTATACAGTCAGCAATGAGGTCAAAATGCTTGTATGATTGAGGGCTTTTCAATGAATCTATTACCAGGTTCTTATTCAAAAAATCAAGCGAGGTCATAGTGAAGCAGTTGTGATTATTTCGTAAGCCTGATTATTAACAGATTAAGTAAAGATATTATATTAATATCTTGTAATAAGATAAATACTGAACTAGTTATCAAAGTCTTTTTACAGAGCCTGTTTTATCAGATGCATGAATTACTGAGATCTATAGTATCAGATCAGAGTTATTGATTTATAAGTACTTTCTGAATAAGAATCTATCAAGTTCTTAAAATTATATACTATTTATTAACTGTTTATCACTCTAAGACTGATAATGCATTAGAATGAATAATTTAAACTGTAAAGAATTATCTTTATAAGTTCTGTAATCACTTATAAAATGATTAATATAATCTTCTTCTATACATAGAAATTGTTATCAATGATTGAGATACTATTTGAACAGATATAAGTCTGTTCTTTCTTATATATAATTATCATATAAAGATGTTAAATTCTCTAGAGATTATATATTTTACACTGAATCTCTGCAGTCTGATTCAGATTACTGATAATATAGTAATAAAGCTCTGAGATATCTGTGACTGAGTAGAAGTCTTTATAGTAAGTACTAAACAAGATTAAGAGAATTAAATTAATATTTACTGAGATCTTACTAAGTAATATAAGATTGAAGATCTGATGTAATTAAATCTTAAGAATATATATATCACATACTTATCTTGTACACTGAATTACTATTATATTAAATATAAAGTGATAGAAGTTCTAGACAGTTATAACTATTATCTTGATATATTATCAGAGATTTATAATATCTTTTATATAAGCTTACTTTACTATGCTGTTACTGACTCATTCTCCTCTTAACTGACTTTCAACTGACAGCTGTCAGTAATCATAGAAGAAGATAATACACTTAAATAAGAAGTTAAAAATATTCTTGATAAGAGACTCTGTAACTACAGTTAATAATATTTTATAAAATGAGTTAGTTATAATTATCTGATCTGAACTTTAAGTTTCATATTATCTGAGACTGCAGCTCTTGACTGATAAAAACTATGTATAATCTCACTTCTGAAAAGAGAGAGTTAATATGACAAGCTGCACTCAATTAATCATATTATATAGACTATTTCACTACACTTTATAGATTTCTGCTAAAAGCTTTAATTCTCAGTCACTGATTCTCAGCTGAAAAATTCACAGAATTTCTATTCTTTCACTCTGAAGCTTCATCATATATATATATAAATATTTACTTTAATTACTGATTCTTACACTTTCTCTTTTTTCCTTCTCTAATGTTTTTCACTTTTGTATTATAAGATCTATATATATTATACTAATCTATTCAGTGTAGACCTTTTATATATAGTCTGAAAGAATAGATCTGAAAAAGTTAGTAAATAAGTAATATAATATAGTGAAAGCTTTCTTATAAGAATATAAGTAAAATACTAGTTAAATTAGAGATAGACTGTATAATTACAAGTAATAGTAGTATATTAATCTGTATAAAGCTAGAGCTTATATTATAGTTATATAAGTGTGACTGAATCTAAGAGAGAGAATGTGATTTGAAAGAATATACAGCTGCTGAATAACAATATAGCTGCTTCTAAATCACTTATAAATATAGAGAGACTCTAGCAGCCACTAATTAATATATATAAGAAGCTAATGTACGTCTGTAATCTTATACTAACTCAAGAAAATGAAATTACTTTGTTAATTTTTTAATTATAGTTTCATTTTAAAATTTAATTAATATTCACTTTTCATATTTTTTTAATAATTAGTCTTAGTGAAATTCATGCTAAGAAATATATAAAATCAGATTAAATAAAATTATGTTGAGAGTCTCGTGATTGATCAGCTCTTCTACTAGCAGACACTGGTAATAATTAAGCTCTTTTACCTCAGTAGTCTACAAATTAAATATAAAATTTATAATCTTACTAATCAGTTTAATATTTACACTGTGAAAATATCTCTTTCTAAGAAAAATTAAATTATATTCAGTATATTTTAAAAATAACTGTTAAATTTATCAGAGATAATTAGATAGCTTGCAGACTGTATAAGTGTTTTTTTTTTTTTTTTTTTTTTTTTTTTTTTTTTTTTTTTTTTTTGGAAATTAAATATGGGAGAGGAACCAAATTAAAAATTTACGGAAGAGAATGATAATAATAATGAAAATATTCAATTCTACTATATTGCAGTTCACCTGTAGAATTGTTGCTTTCTAATGTAGACTAGCTCTGCAATAATTAGCACATCAAGACTCATGTGCTACAAAAACATTTTTATGTAATAATAATCCTTCGTTAGTACTTGACTATACATATTATACAGAAATCTTTCGATCACGAAAGCCCCAAAGTATCTTTGACACTTTTCAACGTGATATCGGCATTTCTCCTGGCAAACTTGGCACCATCTTCTGCAATAGTGTCAATATAACTGGAGGTGTTACTTGTAAGTTCCAAATACTTTTCCCGAATTCCTTTCAAATGCTCCGTGAGCGAGTTAGCTACATGCTCCTTGAAGGCACGCATGCTCAAATGTTGGTGTTCCCGCCCCAATTCTGCAAAGGCCATGCTTCCACCTGCTCCTCCCTGAACATGGCTGAGAATCTCGATAAGGTTAGAAACACCGGGTCGCTTGGAACGGTCATAGGTAATTCCCGGTTCAGAGTCCGTGAGGGCAAGTTTTATCTTTTGATGAATTTCCTCCGCCGAGTCTGTGAGAAGAATTCGAGATCGGGGGTCGATGTGCGATTTAGACATTTTCAATGTTGGCTGTTTGAGTGACATAACGCGTTTCGCCGGCGCTATTTTCGGTTTCTTTCTGTCAACATTTCGATTCAATATGTTGATGTTCATGATGCTTACATATCAATGGAGATGGCATGACGAGCACCGGACCATATATGTGGTTGAAGCCGTTGGCAATTTCCCGCGTAAACTCAAGGTGCTGCTTTTGATCTTCCCCTACGGGCACATCGGTTGCTCTATTTTTCTATTATTCGTGCCAATCCTAGCATAAGTAGCAAGTGAATCACACCACCCATACCTGTGTACGAGCACATCCGCCGCTTGAAGCACTGGGTAGGAAAAAAGCCCAAGTTTAAGCCGCGACTTGGCGTCTGAATTATCCAATGTAGATTCCTCTGGCAATTGTAGTTTACTCTTGTGACAATTCTTAGCGGAAGAGTTTTGCGGCGTGTCGCCATCAGAGAGAGCTGCACTCACTTTCCACTGTGTCATCCTTGATAGGTATCCTATCGAAGATATCGTGCTTAAGATCCACATCAATTCCGAATGCGCTGGCACCTGGCTGCTGTTAGCTAGCGGTTAACCATTTCATTTGTCTTCCCAACTCGATGCGCTTGTATTGCGATTCGCGTTTCGTGAAGAAAATGCAAAGCAAAAACCGTACCGCAGACTGGAAGAAGATAGTGGACCGTTTCGGGTTAATCCCGACAGCTATCAATGTAGCCAGCAGCTGTTTCCGCCATTGTCGAAGTATTGTAGGGTCCTGTGGAACGGTGAGGGCATGGAGATCCACGATGGAGAATATCAACTTCGTAGAAGGCACAGCTTCGTTTTGCAGCAGAACCCACTGCCGCAGCGCTCCTAAGTAATTGCCCAAGTGAGGGACCCCGGTCGGTTGGATGCCTGAGAAAATGATGCGGTCATTCGAAGTGGAAGCGCATTTGGTGGCTGAGGCGTTTCGTCGACATTGTCGCGGACACAGTGAACGGGAGGGTTTCAATTGTCGGAATAAGAACCTAGAAGCATTTCTCACGGAATATACCGGATGTGCCCGCTGGAATATAGCGGACATATCTAGATGTTTTGCGATCAATTGGAGAACTTGCAGAAATGTTGCTGTTAGGTGGTTGTAAAGATTCCTCACCCCCACCCAACAAGCCTCAAAATTGCCTCACGTGCTCGCATAAATAGAGGAATGCCGCGGACCTCGCCGCCCCAGGAGACATTCTATACTAAACAGTATGGGGACCATTTCCTTCTTTTGGAGCTTTTATGAGTATATAGCGCTGTCCGGTACGGACTAGGGTTACATGTTTTGGGAGGAATGGAATGCCTATAGGTTTATGGTGCAATTTACACTTCAATATACGAATTTATAATTTATTTTAGTACAAGGAAACACAAAGATATGGCCAAATGATATACAAGCTCCATGCATATAAAACCCCTTAAAATACCCGAATCTCAGCGGCTATTGTTATTGATAAATTTCCTTCTGTCTACCAAATCAGCAACTGATTCCGCTTGCTCCAATGCCTTCTTGCTAGAGCCGAAGTTGGCAAGTTTTTCCTCAATTGCGGTGTCCAACTCAGCAGCCGTCTCATCCATCGATTTCCCAACGCCTAAAATTTTTAATTTAATTAGAAACCTGTCACATGCTACGGACAAATCGAGAAAAGTTGGGGGAGCATCATACCTATTGGACTATGGTCCCAAACATTCGCTTTCATACCAACTCCATGGAACGCATGTTTTCGTAGAAAGGCCAACCACGTCTGAACGACATCAGGATGGCCATCCTTAATCTGAATTAATCGACGAAGCGTTACTCTCTCGAAATTCTCCTGGGACTTCTTGTGAGCGAAATTGCTTTTCAAGACAGTCCAGCGTTCCGTAATTCGTGGAAGAGGCGCAGGTCCGAAAGCAGGGAGGTTCAGGTAATATGCCGCTCTGAGCGCAAAGTCGGCGAAGAACTCGACATGTCGTGCGCTGTATGATCGGAGCTGGAGGTCACAGACTGGAAGACCGAATTCTGCTTTTCGTCGCAAGGGCTTCAGGTATACGGCTTGCACATTACGCGGTAGCCGGAATTTGCTACCGATCTGGTCTAATCTCTCCGCCCTATACCAAGATGAGCACGGGGTCTGAAATTTGGGAGGTGAAGTTGGGAGGAGCCTTTACCATTCCTTCGGGGTGCTCTCAAGAGGTGCGGAGGGTATTCTGCAGGAAAAGGATAACCATTAGCCATTGGGAAGTTAAGCCAAATAATACAGTCTGAACCCGACCTTATTTCGCTAGAGACAGCATTAGAACTCGGATTATGCGCGCTGGGAGAGCCGCTCTCCTGGGCCGGCGGATGCGAGATTGAAATGGGTCGAGAAGGATTTGATATCTGCGAATTGGGTTAGGGCATTGGCGAAACGATGGAGTGGAAGACTCATGTCACACACTTTTAGCCTTTTATTACTCCTCCATACAGAGCGCACGGAATTTGCAGAAAACATATTGAGAGAAGAAGGAGGTCCTCCTGGTCCGATACTGATGGAGTTTGCGCCTCTTGACGTGATATCCTGCCGTGGGCTATTATTTCCAAGGTTGATCCTCAAAAAGTTCTTTGAAAAGTTTGTGTTACATAAGACGACATGCCACCAACCACCCAATCACAGCTCTGATTCAGGGGTACTTCATATTGCTAGCGACTTACACGTATTTCGCGGGTACCAAATGTCTTCCGCGAACATTTGCTTTAACGTTACCAATAATAATTATAATTAGTCTGTATGCGTAAGCAGTTTGATAGTGGAAGCAGTATAGAGTATTTTCTTCATTTTCTTTCCCAAATGCAAAATGACTAATGTCGTTCTGGCAGCGGCATTAATCCATTAAGAATCTTCCGTGAAGTCGCTGGCAGAACTGGGGCGGCGGGCTCCGACAATATGGATGCGGGTAAAAACAATGAGGACATATTCGCCCTCTTGAAAGCAATTCGTTGTTGGAACCTACTCCTTAGTATCTCACTCATAGCATCTATTTCAAAATCCAAACTTCCAGTCCATGTTCCTCGACTCTTCCCATACCACCTTCCGTAGATATTCCAAAGAATACAAAACATGGGCAAACAATCTATCTTCCAGCAAGCGCAGGAAGCCTGCGCCTATCTGCGTGAGCGTTTGCCAGCCGAACTTCAAAAGCCCCGATTTGCCATAATTTGCGGATCGGGCCTAGGCGGACTTGCATCATCAGTGAGTGAGAGTCCCAGAGCTGAATTTGAATATGGGTCGATCCCGCATTTTCCCACTTCAACCGGTAAAACTAGCTGCTTTCCTATATACTAGCTATCTATCTATACATATCAACGATGGATGGTGAATGCTAATTCCCTTGCATAGTCCCTGGTCATATCGGCAAACTCGTCTTCGGCATTCTTGGGACAGATATTCCTGGGATATTGATGGTTGGTCGATCACAGTACGTTTGTCATATCAATCAAGAATTACTTCTCCCTAATTGTATTTGATTTGATATATAACCTGCCTCGCACCAGCTATTATGAAGGACACACGGTCGACCAAGTCACGTTCCCCGTCCGGCTCTTCAAGTTACTAGGAATTGAAATGATCATTGGTGAGATATATCCTTTCTCATTGTATTATTATAGTTTATTGCTAGCCCTTATACTGGATAAACTTATTGCTCATATTCAAATGAATTAAGTCACAAATGCATCAGGAGGATTGAATCCTGAATACGAAGTTGGGGATATTGTAGTGCTGAGTGATGTATGGCTCCCTTGTTCTTCGGTTATAAACAGACGCGAAAAGCCAGATGAGCTGACGTTGTGATAGCACATCTTTCTTGCCGGTCTTGCCGGAATACATCCACTTCGTGGCCCGAATGAAGAGGAATTTGGCGTTAGGTTTCCTGCTCTGTCAGATGCCTATGACATTGGGCTTCGCAGGACTATCCACCACGCTTGGGGAAAAGTGATAGGGGCAGAAAATAAAAGACGGCTGCATGAGGGTGTCTATGCATTTGTTGGAGGACCAAGGTAAGAAGAAAGAATTACGAAGGTTTGCGATGAATATATGTTTACCAGCCGATGCAATGCTGACCAGTAACAAGCTATGAGACGAGGGCTGAATGCCGACTATTAAGACAGCTTGGTGCAGACCTTGTTGGGATGTCAACGGTTCCTGAGATCATAGTGGCACGGCACTGTGGGATTAAGGTACTCGCACTAAGCCTGGTGACGAATAAGGCGGTCTTGGCTCCAGTCCCGCGTGGAGATGACAGGCTTTTGGAACATTCGACAGTGGAGGAGCTCGACACCATCGTCGAGGAGGGCAAGGCGACGCATGAAGAAGTTCTTGAGGCGGGCAGGCTTGCGGCTGTAGATGTGCAGGTACGTGTTGCACTTTATCCTTCGCTTTGCTTCTCCCACATTGCATAGCTGACCGGCGTGGTGTGCGATAGACACTAGTACAGCAGGCACTGGTAGATATTTTTGCGGCAGCCGAAAATTAATTAGACTGTCGTGTTTGTATCGATTCGACTTGATGGTGTTGGATATCGAACTGTGTTAGAGATTGGATATCTCCTTGACGATCGGCGGGTGAACTACCTAGGTAGCTTCTACATAAAATTTCCAGTAGAATCATGAATAGTATTTCAACCAAATTTCGTTCCCTTGGAACGCTTGGCTTTAACAGCTTTGTAGTGGGCTGTCTTTCCACTAGTTTTGGCGGCCTGGATTTCCTCATATTTTCGGCGGAAGCGGCCGCTCTCTTTCTCGGTCGCCATAGCTTCTTCCACGAAAGTCCGTTTCCGCAGCTTCTTGGGAATCCGAGCGCTAAAGAACTCAGTAGGGCCTTCTATGATGGTACCAACTTGGGAATATTCCGGCACTTTCGCTTTGCTGTTATCTTTCTTGTAGTGTCGATGAGGGTCGAGCACCGGTCTCATTCGGAGAAGCTGGAGATCCCTTTTCAGTTCCGGGGTGAGATTTGTCTTGGGGAGGTTGAACCAGTCAGATCCTGCGGTTGGCTTTTCCTTTGGCTAATAATAAGGGGTCAGTACATTTTCCTCTCAAATTCAAACCAAGAACTTAGAAAAGAATAAGGGGAAAGAATATGAGATAAGGGTGTTCAGAGTAACTATGAATAAAAAGAGCTTTCACGGAAACAGCGTAGCCCAAGACGGGCTAGTAAAACTGTATCAAGCGCTAGAAGCGGTAAAATATCTTCATCAAAACACCGTAGTGGAAGAAGCGCAAAGCGAGAGGGGCGGGGTCGCGAGAATCGAAAATAGCAACTCACCTCCTTGGTTTTGGGATTAGTGGCTTGGAAAATTGAACGTATGGTTTCTGAGAGCTTTTTCTGCTCAGCAGTGATGGCTCGAGACTGGTCAAAGACAGCAACATCGTCTTGTTTGCGAATATAAGGTTGAACAGTTCGAACGGAATCAAGCGCGGGAAGCCTTGAAAGTATTGTTAGTCTCTGAGCGAACGCTTGACAATGACAAAATAAACATCCATGAACGACTATACCTTAAAGAGCTAGAAGCAGCTACTGCATCAGCTGAAGAACGCAAAGTGCCTCGGGAAGAAGAACGAAGGCGTGTCTCTGCCTCCAGAAGCAAATCCTGGATCTGTTCATCTGACAAAATTTCCTCCTCTTGGGAAGTGGTTGGAGTTTGCACAGACATATTGATGGCAAGATCCAAGAGGTCTTGCAGAGGATTGCTATTTTATTTATTCTTGATTCATTGTAAAAAAAGTATTGTGTGAGGAATGGACATATCTCTCCCCGCTTTTCTTATTATCGAAGGGAGGAAAAAAAAGTTGGAAGCAAAAATTGGGGGAGAAAGCTTTTTATAGGTGGACGGCTCTAGCGTCGAAATATCTTGGCGCAGCAGCTAAATATTCGCGTGATAACTAACTACAGCGTAATAAATCGCCGTAACAATCAATAATTCATCAATAATGCCAACAACAGCCGCCGCGAGAGAAGCTACTGACTGGCTAGTCCGTAGTGATTGGAGAAAGAGGCTGACAGAATGCGGTCTTTCCGTTTATGATTACGGCTGTCGATTCTACAAATCATTCCTCGCCTTGCCCATCCTAACATCTTGCAATAGTTATGCTATCACAGGCGAGGAGCATGCCCTGTCGATTTTTTAATTAATTGCCAAAGATATGAAAGTTTATCCCGAATGGCGGAATCATCATGTATCCATTCATATGGTAAATGGGAAATTTCCGGAAAGGAGCTAGTATCCTACAAAGCTCAACGCGGTGGATGGAAGTATTCACGGACGGCTTTGGGGTTCAATGTCCTGCTCGGCGCCAGAGCCTTGGGTACGTACAGTGGTTGCTTCCAGTTGGCTCGAGAATCGCATAATATTGATCTAGTTTCTTGAAAGTAATTATAGTGGCTGAACTGTATCATACTCTGTAAGGAGTATTCATGCCGCTAAATCATATATAATATCATACAATATCACTTCACAGCTCCTCTGTCCGAGCTTTGTGAGCGTTTACCGTCGTGAGTGTTCTAGATAATTCAACGGGTAACTAGTTATCTCTTCCTACTTTTATTCAGCAGAAAAAAAAAAAAAACACGATAATATGCCCTCCTTAAGAAATTATTTAGTCATACATGAACTATACATCACTTACATACCACCCTTTTCATCACCACTGCATTTGATGTCCCACTTTTGGGCTTTAGCCTGACAATCGAGGCGAAGGTGTTGCGGCAGCCCAACCAACCACGTTTATCTGTCTTGGGCGCCGGAATAGCACATCATTGGATGGAGCGGCCAGTTTCATGGATGACAATACCATGCGCATGGAGTCCAGTGCTGAAGTTTCACCTGCAGCTTTCGCGTAATGCTTCTCATAGTCATGAGTTAAAAAGGCCAGCAGATGTGATCGTATTTTGCGGGTGGATAGTGGATATAGCAGCAGGTTGAATTGGCTGTTTCTCCAAATCATGGCTGTCGGGGATTTTCCTATACCTAATATGACTTGTCATGGACACCCAATCTATAGTTTTGGCCAACGAGATCCCAAGAATAGCGCTTCGAACCAGGGCCAGCAGCGCCCTGGGGTCCGTTGGTGTGAACGGTCAGTGGTGCCCAATTGGCTTGGGTTGCTCATCGTAAACAAAAGCTTAAATGGTTGTTGTTTGATGGAGTAGAGAAGAGATCCAGGTTAGTTTTATTATATATTTAGATGAACAGGAGAGGAAAAAAGTACTTATACAGTCGTATTAAATATAATAGTTAGCCAAAGCACAAGTAGTTAAAGGAAACATCTAGCAGAGTAATGGGATTAAAAATACAGAAAGAAAGCAATGACAAGTTCTCCTCCCCAGCTGAAGAAAAGGTTAACCGGTTAATAAATAACTAGTTAACTAACTACCGCTGAACTGTTCCATCACCGCCATCACCGCCATCTACCATCGCTCGCAGTCGCGTTTCACAGTCACATTCAACTCGCATTCTTCCGCCTCCTCTCCCTCCCCCAAAACTCCCCCACCACCTTTCTCTTCCCTTCTCTTCTTATAGTAGCCTTTGCCTCTACCCTTCAGCTATCTATCTTCCTATTCCGCTCCCAGTGATAACCTTCTACGTGCCCATCTCTCTCCGTCTGCTGCCTCCCGCATTTTCCCCATCTACCCAAGCCTCTTAGTAGCGCCGTCTCGACCGATTGTCCTCCACCTCTCAAAGCTATTGTTGTTGCTCCCACTCCGGCGCGTTTTTCGAGTATATCCTCCGAGATGGATCCAACACAATCAGGCGGAGGCCAGCATGGTCGCGCAGAGCCGGAATATAACATCAGGAACGGGGGCCATTACGGTGCGTAACCGCGTTCGTTTATCTCAACGTCCATGTCCTGGACTATCAACCCTCGTTAAAGAGCCGGGTTCATTTGCCATCGTGGAGTTTCTTGTTTGATGTTTTGAAATGAAGTTAAAACTAGAGAAAGGGATTGCTTTTATAGAATTTCTTTCTCCATCTTATTACGGCAACTAACAGCTGTGTAACGTCTTTGCAGGAGCCAGCGCTGCGGTATGGTGATATATCTCTTTCAGTCAATTAGTTCAAAGGGCAAACAATAGCGCCATTGTTTTTCGTCCATCCATCCATCCGTCCTTGACATTACACAATATATATAGGCCGTTTGGACGTGCTTTGAGCATCTACTTACATTGCACGTTTTCAAAACAACTAGCTCTCAGCTCAAGGATATGCGCCAGTACCCGAACTCTACACAGGATCATGGGCCAACGTGAGTAGGATCCCGATTTGTTTCAGATCTCCTTCGAGATGTCTACCAAACCAACAAGCGTTCATCTGGCTAACTCAGATTGCACTCCTTCATTCCCTTTGCAGGTTAGCCAAGGCCTCCAGGGCAATTCGCGCGATATCCTCACCACCTACTGGCAGCATACGATCAACCATCTCGAATCCGACAACCATGACTACAAAATTCACCAATTGCCCCTGGCCCGGATAAAGAAAGTGATGAAAGCGGACCCAGAAGTGAAGATGATCTCAGCCGAAGCCCCAATCCTATTCGCCAAGGGCTGCGACATCTTCATAACGGAACTGACTATGCGCGCCTGGATACATGCCGAGGACAACAAACGGCGAACCCTCCAACGTTCAGACATTGCCGCCGCCCTCTCCAAATCAGACATGTTCGATTTCCTCATTGACATCGTCCCGCGCGAGGAGGCTACACCCCACAAACGGTCCGCCCAGACAGCTCCCCCGGCGGCCACCGCCCCTCCGCCGCACAACGCGCCCGGCCAACTTCCCCCACAATCTCAGCCAGGCGTCCAGCACCCGCAACACCATATGGGCCCTCCGGATTATGGCTCCCTTGGGCAGCATACCATGGGCCAGGAGCAGGATTACCGCCAGCAGCAGATGTATGGAGGAGCCGTCCAATCGGACCCGGGATATGGTCAGCCGCAGCCGCAGATGTTTGAGAATATGTATGCGCCGTACCCGCATATTCCTCCACAACAGGTCCGTACATCTCCTACTCTCACTGCCTATTTCTTTCTCGCGCCGATCCTGTTTGTTTTTGTTTTAATGTTTTTTGACAAAAGTCGAGCGAGATATGCTAACAGAAAATATAACATGCACATATATAGTGAGAGTTCAATAAATGGTACTAGCGTTTTTGTTTTGAAATAATGGTAATGGCAGCGAGAGCTGCTGGAATTAATATCAAAAAATATCAGTAAAATGAAATGAAACAAAAATATCTAATACAAAAATTAAAAAATTAAAAAAATTAAAAAAAATAAAAATAAAAAACACCACTGCTGACATGAAGGCGTAACGACAACTGAGCCCATTCCCTCCATATATGGCAGATGACAATAGGGATTAGGAGTTTTCTTCAAGGTTCTTTACTTTTTTCTCTTTCTTGCTGAAGCACGGGTAGGGAAGGAAGGAACGGGTATTTTTGGAAAGGGAGGGAACGCAAAGGGTATAATGGAGTTGGTTTCATTTGTTTTTGTTGGGTTTATTTCATATACATATCCATAGCTATATAAAATGAATGACCTTGCTCGCTTTTCTTTTGTTTAGTTTGTGATTTGTCCGTGTGCAACTTGTTCCTGTTCCTGTACACGTATACACTGCCCGTCTTGAATAGTTTCGGGCGATATTAAGCTCCTAATCTTCATTATTGATATGGGTCATCACATCAAAGAAGTCAAATGGCGGATCTGAAATAATGTGGCCCTGGTAGTAAGGGGAAATGTTCTTGGTTGGCTGATTGATATATCACACCACCCCCTTCTCCTTCCAAACAACATCATTTCCCTCTCAATTTGTGGTAGCATACAACTAACACAGCACCCTGTAACTCCCCATCCCATTAATTATATTATCTATCCATGATGAGAGGTCTCACTTCTAATCAGCCAACTACTTCATCCCGAACCTCGTTGACAGACTGAACTTATCCTGCTTCTGCGGACTGTGTACCGTTGAAACAAGCCTACACAATAAGAAACACACGATGGAGATTCGTCGTTAGCACTGTGATCAATCTCCGCTTTATGCCTACCTACCCTCCTCCAAAAAACAAAAAAGAAAAAGAAGAAAAAAAAAAAAAAAGAAAAGAAAAGAAAAGGGGCACATACTTCTCCAACAAAATCGGCCCATTCATCGCATCGACGCGCCCATATTTCTTATTCCGCGTGGAGATGTCGTAGAACTCATCCGTGTTCTCAGCCTGTAGCAGCTGGACGGTCTGCTGGAGCTCGTCGAGGTTCTCTCGCAGGATGGGCACGCCGAGGCTGTCAACGAATTGGGTTAGGTAGTCGACATCCCGAGCCAGGGCGGCGACGCCGTTTGGATTTATCTTTTTCACGTCAGGGGAGAGGGGGAGCGCCTTAAGAAATTACATTTCGTCAATAATATATTCTTTGGGGGGTTTTTGGAAAAGAGGGGGAAGGGGAGAGTAAAAAATATAAATGAGCGTACCAATACCATATTTGCCGCATGACTCAACGCGTCAAAATAAATCAACTCCTTAATCTCCGTGGGCAGACCCAACAATGTCGAATTCATAATATTCGACAAAAATCTCGTCAGCGTCTGCATGTAATTACTGGGTTCTCGCTGCGGCACGGGCGACGTCCAGTCATACTCCGCCGTCTCGATCAAGTCGTCAATTTTCGAATTCACAACTTCGAAAATCCGCTTTTCTGCAGCTTTCTTGTTATTGCGGAATTTCTCCGTTGCGTTTAGGGTTATGGCGGCGCCCGCTGAGCTGGAGTTGGGTGACCGTGCGGCGGCCAGGAGGAGCTCTAGCTCCTGGCAGGCTACTTCAAAGTGCTCGAGGTTTATGAGGATTTGAACGATTTGGCCTAGGTATTGTGAGCCGAGGCGCTCGACGAGGGTTTCGCAGACTTTGTTGGAGAGGAGGGAGTCGAGGGACTTTTGTGGATGGGTTAGTAATCATATATGTAAAAGACGTCGTGGGGCATGATCTACATGTACCTCTTTCAAAGTCTCATCGATCATACTTGGGTGCTCGAAATCGTCGTTGGAGAAGAAATAGAATTGGTTTAGGAAATTTCGGATATCGATGCAACATAACGGATACATTTGGGAGAATGGTAAAACACAGGGGAATCTGAAGAAGAGTTAACAGTGATCGCTGAAAATAACATGTATATAGATGGTAGATGGATCCTACGTTTGTTCCTCGCGCGGTTTCTCGGGGGTATACCAGCTAACATTGAGGACTTTGTCATATTCTTCAATATTTTGAATTGGCATCGGCATGTAGTCGTCGGTTGAAACAATCTAGGGCGATTGTTAGGATTTTCTTTTTTTTTTTTTTTTTTTTTCTTTTTTAATAGGGGAAGATGAAATCCATATCGAATCCATACCTCTTGGAAATCGTCACTGAATCTCCTCTTGAGAAGTTCAGCATATTTCTCAAACAAGGTTATGAGGAAGCTATCGAAGACTCCAACGGGGAAGCCCCAGGTCTGTAGACGACAAATTGTCAGTATTTACATGAACAATAACTTTTAGGCACAAACGTCCATATCTATGTAAAAGAAAGGTACTGGGTAGCCCACATCCATAGCTTGCATGAACAAGACGACCAAATTCTTGATTTTCAAGATATTTTCAGCATTGTCCACGGTATGGAGTGCCTTTGAAATCAAAGTAACGGCACCTTGACACATGGAATCCCAAAGTTCGTCCACCTGTATAGGTAAATGATTAACAAATTAGTAGATTCCCCTAGCATGTCGAAAGCTTCCCGACTTACATCAACAGGAGACCTAAGATTGGGAATCTTCTTCATAGTCGACCGCTCAACAATCGCAAATCCCGCAATCTCCTCTAGAAGCGTATGCAAACTTGCCCCGTCTTCCTCAACGAGAGATATCGAAGGCGGGAGAATAAGCTCCTTCTGCCTCCTCCTCGTCATCGCATATTCTACCCGAAACCTATCCATCTGGCCCAGCGACTGGTGAATATGGAACACTCAACAGCGGCGTGAATCACTGCAAGTCATCATTCTGCAGCAGATCAAATTCTTCATGCTCATCCGAGACCAACTCAATGGCCGAATTCAGCCGGAACTGGCGGAAATATGGGTTGAGCTCTGCGCGTTCCTTCAGCCTGGACTTGCGCAGGTCGGTATGGTACAGAGCAATCTCCCCGAGGTATTGCGACATTTCCCGAATACGGTACAGCCATGTGTTCAGGTCAGCCATGACCGCCTCCGCAATCGCCTTTTGCGTGGTCGGTACGGATCGCTGGATCATCTCTGCGATTTTATGCTGCGTGACGCTCCTCAAGTGGACGTTCTGCAGCTCGTCAAGTGCCCGCAGGGCGGCATAGTGGTTCTTCTTCGCTAGCAGTTCATTGACTTGATTCGCCAGGCGCAGCACCTCGAGACAATCTTGTAACGCGCGCGACGTCTCATCGATATTTTGCCTATGGCTGCGAGATTCCACGAGGGCTTTCTTCTGCTCTGCTAGCCTCTCCGTGCTTGCCTGTATGGATTGGTTGAGGTCTAGGATTTCCGAGGTCAAGTTGACGGTGCCTTCGCGGACGCGGAGCAGTTGGTTCACGGAGGCGACGAACTCCTGGTGGCTGGAGTTGCAGGCTTTCTCGATGTCTGATTCACGGTCATTGGCAAATTTGGAGAGAGATTGGAGGAGCTGGGAAGTTTTGTTCCCACGGCTGTATTCGCGGATAGAGGGGATGAGTTGGTCTAGGTAGTCGGTGTCTGAGGGAGAGATAACGATCTATATATATTAATTATTACATGGTAGCGGAAGTAGGAAATGTTAGTTAGGAATTTACTTTTTTAACTAGGTGTGGAGTTTATAATAGTGTATACGCACCTGATTGAGAATATAAGAGGGGTCTCTATGTGAGGGGATTGCGGCAGGCATGGCTGCGGAATAACTTCGGGAGGGCGGAGGTATCGGTATGCAAAGTGGAGTTTATTATGGTCATTAAATCATGATGAAGCAATCAAATAAGGAATTGACAAAAAGTAAGCAAAAAGGGGTATCCATACAGGCGCCGAGCTGCGCTACCAGGTGTAATATATTATTGGAGTTTCATGGCCTGATATGATAGCCCATTGTTGATGATGATGCCTATCTATCTGATCCGCCGCTTGTAGGTGGCCTCTGTTGGGCGGTGAGGTGCAGATAATAGCTCCGCACCAATGACATGGCATAGTTAGCGCAACAGGCGGCAGAATAAAAGACGCTGACACGCCACAGAAGTATGCCGGCTCTCATATATAAAATAAAATATATATGACATCGATCCTAGTTTTTCTACTTGGTTTGCTTTTCAAACTAGGTAAAATGGTCTAGCTACTACTATATCGTCAATAGTAGTCAAAGATAGAATACTCCCGATGTTTTCTTATCCGTGGTGGGTTGGCTTTGTCGCGCGTTATATATACCCCCTTTATTTCCACTCGGCATATAGTACTTGCTCCCCGCCGTCTGTATGTCCGGGTTCTGGCTAAAAAGATCCCCAAAGGAATCTGGAATCCAGGGCTGCTTTGGAATACTAGATGAAATGCTTCTTCTTTATGATGCTGTTTGCTGCCAGCATCAAGATTTTTCTGTCCTCTTGCTATCTGTGATTGTTCTATCTCCATGAGTGCATGAGTGCATGAGTGCATGTATTATCTCACTGTATAAATCATTCTCTTCTTCTCCTGTTCTACTGTGTGAGGAGAGACTTGTGAACTGTACATCTTTTCTCTTCAGCTAAGTTAGTATATAAGTGAAGAATTCTGATCTTGGAAGATATCAAGATCTTCTTGCTCTCTGACTGAGTATCAGATAACTAACTATCTATCCATACCCAGTTCTATTCACTGCATGTTCTGTATTCACTCATATGCAGATAGATATTCTATATATATATATATATATCATATATCTATATCTATATATATACCTCGCTCCTCGTCTCTTCATCATAACCCCGCTTTTTTCCTTTCCTGGTCGCCCTCTTGATGGTCTCATCCTCTTCCGGCGTCTTCCCCTCCATTTCCCTCTTTTGAGGGTTCCAAGGCTGGTGGATGTCCGTCTCTCTCCCTCCCCACAGGCTGTTTCCCCCTCTCTGCCGCCCGATTGTAGCCAATTGTGGCTGGGTTGCCGTGCTGGTGTGTCCCTGCAGACCCTACCTCACAGAGCCTCCTCCTGTGTTCGTCATTCCAAAGTTGCTGGATGCTCACCCGATTTCCCCCTCACAACTGCTCACAACTTGCTCACAGCTCTTCTTATTCCTTCTTATCCCTTCTGATTCTCCTGATTCTTCTCTTCCTCCTGTTTATCTTTCATCACTTTATTGGCGTGTATATTCACTTGTTCCCATCCCAACCTCCTCTCATCCCCTCTTCTGGCTGTCTATTTGGCTGTCTGATGCCCTGTTTCCATCTATCTCCCCAGCCTTTCTGTTTTGTTTCCTGATCTTTCCCGCTCTTTTTTCTCTTCTCCCCCTTTCTCGCCCATCCGCTGCTCATCTCTATCCCCCCCGCCCCCAAGTCTTTCATATAGCTTCCTCGACATATCTCTTAGATATATCTCTTTTCCATCTACACGATTTTATCATCGTATATCTTTCCAACCTTCTCTTCCAACAGCAATACCGACAAGACAAGCTCGCTCCTCAGTATTCGCTCTCTCTCTCTCTCGCTAGCTGGATCCTCCACGTGCGTTTTCTTGCCCTGCTTCAGTTTCTCCTCTTATATCCTTCGCTTCCACTTGATTTCTTCATCGTAGCAACTCACTCCTCTTCGTCTTCTCACCGAACTCATCATAGACACTCAAAAGCCCACAACAAGCCCTTCAAGCAAGAAAGGCCTTTTTTGAAATCACAAAACCATCCTTGTTCATCATCTCTTTGATTTGCTTGATAAATCTCGCTCTCCAAGCAAAAATGAGAGGCAACGGATCTTCTGCTATTGCAAGCAGCCCTCGCTCCTCAGATGAGGCTGCCTCTCGCAACGGCTCCCCTGAGACAAAGCTTACTGCCTTCTCCCCTGAAGACCTCCGTCTGAAGTCCCGCTTCGAGGCCGGAAGGGCTTTCTGTGGTCCTCCTGACGATAGTCACCGTCCTTTCTATTCCATGTAAGTAGACGTGTTATCGCTCTCCTTGGTTAAAAAAACAAAGGGAGGAGAAAAAAGCTTGTTAACACGCCCTGTCTAGTAATAATGGACTGGGCCATCATCAGGGTCAAGACCCCTTCTTGTCCACCCCATCTTCTGCTGGTCGCGCCCAGCTTTCTCCCACTGCCTCCAGCTTCACCCCGTCTGGGTTCAGCATTAATCCTTTTGGATTTTCTGCCCGTTCGGCTTTCCATGGAGATCAACAGCCACAGCCCATGGCTAAAGGCTACTTAGCTGCCACTTCAGAGCCTGATGCCTCTCCTGATGCTAGTGATGTCTTTGGGACGCGCTCAAACCTACGCCTCTCGGGTTTTGGCCCCATCGGGAAAGCAAAGTTGGTGAAAAGCCCGCTTCCCATGATGTTTGCCCATCTAGGGAAGTTCGACGGCGAAAATCGCAACCGTGCTTTCGCTATAGACGGTGTCCCAGCAAACCTCCCCTATCTCACTCTTGCTGAGATTTTCAACGTAAGTGAATGTTTCTGTAGATATCATCTTGAGAACCTAGTGTACAGATGGCCACTAATGGCAATTCCCCTAATAGCGTCGCGAATTCGGGACTCTCAAGGGCCCTGTGTTCACGGAACTCAGCTCTGCCGGGTGCATCTATGTGGGGTTTACTGACATTCGTGATGCCAAAAATGCCTCCGAAAAAGTTAGACGTCTTCATCCTGAATGGCGCATCCGCTCCTTGACTGCAAGGGAGTATGCCCAGAAGTTTGACCCGGCCAATGCTGGTCTGGTTTCCGATTTCGAAGGCCAAGTTTTTGCCTCTGTTTTTTATGACAGCTCTAACCCATCCTTGGATGCGCGTGTTGTGTCGCACTCGTTCAAGGATCTCTTGGAGACTTTTGGCGATATCAAAGCTTTCCATGGCATGCCAAATACCCAAGGAAACGTTGATGAGTTTTTGATCGAGTTCTTCGATACTCGTGCTGCTGATAATGTCGTTTCGACTTTGAACGGAACATCTGTGGACGTAAGTAGTTCTCTTCCCTCGCCATAGCATTGCGCTGTTCGCTAAAAAATTTCATCCTTAGGAATGCGTTCTGGAGCTTAAACTCCACAGACCAGACATGGCAGAGCCACAAACTCCTCGCCATGGATCTTTCGAATCCAGAGACTTCTTCTCTTCATCTGATGTGTCGAACAAGCGGCCATACAGTCGTCGATCCATGACTCACATGCATTCTAGTCCATACCATGAACTTAGCCCTACTGGCCGCTCTATCATTCCGATTGATGACCATGTAGCAACTATGGGTTGGATGCCAAAGGCTGACGATAACTTTGGGTTCCGTCCTCGCCATGAACTTAGTCGCCATAGTGATCCTCGCTCTAACAATCAGAACTTCGTCGACATCGAACGCATCCGCTGTGGTGTCGATGTCCGCACTACAGTTGGTTTCGTCTTGTCTCTTGCTTTTTCGTCGATTGCTGACTTTCATTACCAGATTATGCTTCGCAATATTCCAAACAAGATTGATCAGGTACGTACGGATTCCATACTCCGTTTGTGGTAGATATCAGTGTATATTAACATATTGCCCTAGGCCATGCTTAAGGAAATCGTCGACGAAACTAGCCATGGTAAATACGATTTCATGTATCTGCGTATTGGTAAGCTTATCTCTCCCCGAATCTTAGTTGTATTCCCAGTACTTACAATGTTGTCGCAGATTTCGCAAATAACTGCAAGTTAGTTACCAAATGACACGCATGCCTTCTTCCCCCATAACTTCGTAGTTTATGTTCTGATGCACATTTTCGTATATAGTGTCGGCTATGCGTTCATCAATTTCGAGGATGTGAGTATATCACCCTCAATGAGCTCGATTTGCATCCATGCTAACATTCCATAATTAGCCAATTGATATCATCGATGTAGGGCTCTATCTTCCATTCTCGTATCCGTATAAGCGCACTTACTTTTCCCTCCATTCTAGTTTGCCAAAGCTCGTGCGGGTCATACATGGTATGTGTTAATCCGTAACTTGGATAGTGGCGAAGCCAACTATGATGCTAATTGATTCAAAAAGGAATTGCTTCAACAGCGATAAAATTGCGGAAATATCCTACGCCAGTAAGTTAAATCCTTTCTTTCCTTATTCCTTTCGCTATTCTTTTCATTTGGTTCCGCGGGAAGTTCCGTGTACGCTGATGTTTTCACCATTTAGCTATCCAAGGAAAGGACTGCCTGGTCCAAAAATTCCGCAATAGTTCCGTAATGCTTGAGCATCCCTCCTTCCGCCCAAAGGTAAGAACCCTCCGTAGAAGCTTCTCTAGAAGAGGGATAAATAACTGATCCCGTTCGCTCTTCAGATTTTCCACACCGGCACTGGACCCCTGGCTGGATCCGAGGATCGTTTCCCAGGCCCAGACAACCCGTCAAAAATGCGTCGTAGCGTCGAAAACGCAGAGCATGTCGGTATGTATTCATCCCGTGGCTCCTTTCTCCCCATACAAAAGCTCCCCATCCTTTTCCCCCCATATGTATAGAAAGCAGCATTTGCACTAACACAAATGAATCCCAGGCCTCTTCGCGCCACGTGTTGGCCAGCAATATCGCGACGAGCAGCGTCGTCGTCGCTCCCAGTTCGACCGCGGGACCACCGCCGCTGAGCGTGAGGCGTATTACGTCCGCTCCTCCAGCTCCTTCACGCCTAGACGTGGCGCGTTGAATGGAAACGGGAACGGTGGTGTAATGCTACCGATGATGGTGATGTCTCCGTGTTATGAGGGCCCTGTTTCTGGTGCTGATGGTGGTGTTGGCGCTCGGGCTTCTTGAAAAATAGGAGAAGGGATGGAGGGCCGTTTTCTGCGTACTTGCGGGTGTGCGAGTGGGTATCGATTGGCCAAGGAAAGAAAGGAAAGTATCCATTTTCGCTCTTTTTGTCCTTTTTTGCCTGCTTCGAATGGGGTTTTTGTGTTTATTTCTTGTTTTGCCCTTCCACTGGATTCCGATAATATCTTCCCTTCCTCACCACCCTTCAGCACCAGCAGGGTGTGTTGTCTGAATTTGCGCTGTGTATGGCTGGTCGCTCGGTAACTTAATTCTTCAGTTTCTCCCTTTTCCTTTTGTGTCATATTCATACCCGCTCTCCTCCCTCCTGTCCTCTCTCGAACCCGAATGCCACTGTTTGGTTGTGAAAGGAATAGTCTTCAAGAAAAATTTTCCGGAAGCGAGAGAGAGAAAGAAAGGGAAAAAGAAAGGAGAGTGATGGAAGGCCAATTCAATCAATGCCTGATCGACAGGCATGGGGGAAAAAAAAAAAAGAAAAAAAAAGGAAAGAGCCCTCTTTTATCCATCTTGCTCTGTGTACCCATTACTCAAATTTGGGATTGGGTAGAACCCATCAATCGACAGGCAAGTTGTTTGGTTTGGTTTGATCCTTTTTCAGAAAAGGAGCTCAGGCGTGTGTTGTTGGGTTTTGTTGGTTGCTGGAATGGAACTTAGTTGAGTTGGGCTTTTATTTACCTTTTTTGTGTTTTCTTTACTCCTTTCGATTATGCTTGCTCGTGCTCATGCTTGTTCGCATGTTCTGCTCGGCTGTGTTATTTCTATTCCTTTGCTCGACGAGTTTCTGGGTTTGAGACGACACGCTCGAAGTGGGGAACGACTAATTAATCTACCTTAAAAATGGGACAGATAAGAGGTGGATCTTTTTCTTCTCTAAGTTTGATTTTGATTTTTTACCTTTCTTGCCCACGACCTTCTCTCACTTCTTAGGCGATCTTCCCTCCTTTACCCATGTACTTTTAGTCTCATGTATGTATTGTAGTTTTAACTACACAGACACGGATGGATCTTTTATCCGAAAAATTTCCCCCTCCCTTGTGGAGTCCCTTGGAGGTTTTTTGTTGCCAAATAGCAGCGTGGAATTAAATGGGGATCATACCATCTCTAAGTCCCACATAAATAGCATGTTGTAGCGGTATCAAACTCAGCTCTCAAGGGAAGGAAGTGGGGAGGCCACGGCTGTATTAGTGAAGCTTTCAGTTGTATGTATTTAGCAGTTTCCTTCGCGTTTGACGGGCCAATAGTTAAAACTAAACAGACAGTAAGCGAGGTCGGATAGTTAAAGTTTCCATTCTAATTTTCAAACCTTCGCGCCTAAAAAAAGCTTAGCGGCAACCTCCCTCGACCATTTACACCAAACCCGATGAATGTAACCAAGTCAACCGTTGTTCACACATGCCCGGGAGGCACGGAGAACATTAAAAAGCGAGCGAACTTGGCTCTCATCCTCCTCTAATGAGAGAGGAGAAATTTTAAAAAAAAAGATAGCAAGAAAACCAGCAATACCTCTCCCTGATTAAAAAAGAAAGAAAAAAAAAAGTGTCATTCTCAATATAAAGGAAAGTAACAAGCTACCTCGTACATTTCCCAAAACAAAAACAAAGCAAAAGAAAAAAAGAAAAAAAAAGAAAAATGCCTCCAACCCACAAAAAAAAGCAAAAGGGGCTCCCCCAATCCTCCACTCTCAAATCTATCCACATAACCCTCCACCTCCTCTACCACCGTAACAAGAATCAGCACCACGGCACGAAATGGTGGAAATGGCTGGCGATGCTAAAGCGGTCGATGAGCGCATTACTTGGGGCCGTTAGGAGGTGGGAATGGGAGTGGGATGAAGGGGATGGTGATGAGGACGGTGGCTTCCGTGCCAAAGTGCTCGAGATGATGCGATATATGCATGTCTTTGTTGTGCCGAGGTGTTACGTGTGAGTTTGAAGTGGCTTTTTTTTTTTTTTTTTCCCTTCATTTCGTGCTTGTTTGTTTCCTTATGATTCTCCATTGTTTGCACTTTTCAAAATGAGGGAGTGTGTCCTATTGGAGTCTGTCAGTGTGACTCTCTTAATGACTTCAGCTCTGGTTTCTCCTTTTGTATTTCCGACCCGAATGCTTTTCATTTCAAGTTATAAGCCCCGTCTTTCCCTGTGTTTTCTGCATATTTATATCCCCTCGAAGCATTTTTGAAAAAAGACCATTATTACTTCCTAACACCCTACAACAGCGCCTTCTCTACCGTCGTTGCGGATACACAATTCTCCGCTCTGGGCGTCGTCCTTCTCGCGGTTCTAGCTCAAGCTGCAAAGACAGTCGCATCGGGAGAGAGATATCAAACGGAGCCCGACGCCAATACTGGAACCGGCGTAACTTTGACCTCTACCACTACCACTGCTACCACAGCCGTTGTACCCGCCAATCACGAGGAGAGTGTTGATGTTGATGTTGGGGAGGTGGTGAAGAGATCGCTTTACCTCCCCGGCTTGGTGGTGGATTCTGCGGCTAGTGGTGAGAACAGAGGAGGGAAGGAGAATGGGGACGCCAGTGGACTCAAAGAAAAAAAGGGGGGAAAAAGTCCCCTGATTTTAGATGCTGCTGGGGAAGAGCGGAAGGCGGGCATGGTGAAGAAGTTGAAGCGGGAAAGTCCACTGTCGCAGTTGGGTGTGGATGAGGAGGACGGGGAAGGGGAAGAGCGGCAGAAGAGGAAGAAACTTAAGACGAAGCGAAAGCAAAAGCAGAGGGATGCGATTGATGATATCTTTGGGGGATTGTAATGTAGGACGATTGGAATTTTCTTCTTCTTTGGGATCGGGGTATTCAGGGGCAGGACAATGGCGTTTTGTGATTATTTTATTTTATTTTGCTTTCTATTCTGTATGATACCAGTAAGATATTTGTATTTCCAAAACTATATATAATCTCTACATGCATGTATTCTCTATACATGGCTGATAAAATTTTTATCTAACAAATCGACACGAATATGACATGTCCAAGGAGAAGATTGACAGCCAGATGCTGTACTAAACTCCAAGCCATGATATACAAAAACTTTGGGGAGAAAACCGTCCATATGAAGAGATGAGTCCGCAGCACGGTGCAGGCCACCATTACCGCCAACAGGCTCATCGTGACGAAGAAGGTAAGCAGTGCCAAATGATTACCATGACGGCGGCGATTGACAGCCGAAGTGCATCCGTCATCGCCGATGAACAGCGAGTTTGTCGAGAAAACCCACCAAATAGGGCCGGCCCAGTTGCCTATAAATGTCAGGATACCGACGAGGACGACGTTATAATCACCGATGCCATTGTAGGCATTTGAGAGGTCGACAGAGGCGATTGAGTTGGAGCCGCCCATAGCGAAAAATGTTGCGTATTGCAGTATTAGTGAGGTGATAGTTATTTCATCACCAGACAGCTTCATGGAGGAGAGGGCCCAATGCTGAAGGCGGAGAATGAGGTACAGTGGGATATTAGTTGATCTTGATTGAGTGACGAGGAAAAGGCTCACAATGTCGTGGAGATCTCCTGAGACCCTGACGCTTGTGAGAGTGCTATTCAGCATTTTTGGGAGGCGGGCATCATGCTGGTTGCGGATTTTGAGGAGGAATTCTTTGAGCGCTCGTTTCCGTTGGATTTCTGTATATATCACGTACGCCAGGGCTATGGCAATGCCGGTGAGCACGATCCTGGCCTGGGTGATAACGGAAACCCCAGAGACGCTTTCTATCAGCTGGTTTAATATTAAGGTCTCTTGGAGGAGTTCTGGGGAATCGGCAGAAGTAAAGGTGAGCTTAAACAAAAATGCAAAGCTGGCTAAGATAGGGAAGAAAAGTCGCGAGAATGATGCGGCTCCGGCTGAAGTTGTACGTCGCAACATTTTTTGGCAGATATCAGTGTATGTTAGGAGAATCAGTATCCAAAGAATATTCGTATGGTTCGGGAAGAACGTTCTTGCTATATCAGGTTCTGCAGCAAATTTCTGACCCGTTTGATTCCATCGTCGCATAATTCGCGATGAAATAGCAAAGATTAAACAAGCCCAAATCTGAACAGATTTAGGCGATGCTCTCCCACCATCGCCATCGCTGTCTTTTCCCCTTCTTTGAATGTAAGGCCTTGCGTAGAGATAGAATGTCCAACCGCTGAGAATCCAGTACCAAAATTGTTGCTCCTCTTCCACATAGCTGCTTCCGAACATCATGATGCCGTAGCCTATGGAAATGAAAAGACCAAATGTTCTAGCACCTGTCATGACACCAAGGGACGCAATACTGGATAGTATGACCGCCAGGGCAGCAAGGAAAATCCCAATGTGGAGCCTTTCCATTTTGTAATTACTTGCCGCACTACTCATCACGTCTTGAGAAGATCTGCAAAAGGCGAGAAGAGCATTCTCAACTTCCTTGGAATGATCACCATGATCCAGGGCTGCACTGGCCAACTGCCATGCCTTTTGCCAATTGCATTCAAGCGAAGCAAGTTCCGTGTTTGGTGTAGGGGTGCATAGATCTGTTTTGAAAGAATAGCTAAATTCATAGGCCGGGAACGTCGTCTTAACAACGTTACGAATTTGCCTAGCATTCTCCATAAGAATTTTAAGTCTTTCAAATCCTAGATCAACCTCAGTATACATTCATTTTAAATATTGTTGCGAAAAGCCGTTTTTTTTTTTTTTTTTATTTTTTAACGTACCGTTTTTCCACATAGGCAGAAATCCTGGTATAAAGGCTCCTAGGCTGTTGAGTGGAATAGGAAACCCGAGCAATCCAGCTAGAGTAGGAGCGATGTCAGACTGTTCGACTAACTGATAGTACTTGAAGTGCCCTGAAGGTGGTTCAAGGGAGTGACCTTGATTCCGTATTTGTCGGATTTTCGGGGATATGAACACGAGAGCTGGCGAAGTTTCCCCTGGAGACGCGCCGCCATGGTTCCCAGCATCATTCATACCATGATCACCACATAATACGAGGAGAGTAGACGCAAGATGTTCCTGGCTCTCCATAGCGTTATATATTTCCCTAACAACCGAGTCCATTTCCTTTTGCTTGGGGAGCATATGGGCGCTAGCTCTATATTAGAAGTTGATTCAAGGAAGCCGAAATTGCCAGAGGCCTTACCTATTTGGACCTGATTTATGGCCAATGTGGTCCAAACCAAGGTAATGCAAGATCATTGCAGACCAGTCCTCCATCATAAGCTCCTCCGGAACATGACGAGTGACATTATTATCCACTTCAACAAAATCCTAACCTAAGACCTCAGCGTTTTGGCTTCCTAAATATATGAGATTCCGTCGAAAATCGTGGGATTGTACTAACCGATACAAAAAAACTCGTTGTGCCATCGTGCCTGTCAAAAAACCCCGGGAACAATTTTAACCATGTATCATCTCCATACATGACTAGGCGCCCACCAGGTCGAGCTCTCAACTGGGCAAGCCACGTATCCTGATAGACGAGCGTTGAAGACGTATCAGATTCTGCAAGGTTAAGAATCACGTCTAAAAACGAAGGCACCGAGCCTGTCGTGATAGCTTTGACCCGCGGCATTGTGACCGTAGGGGCACCTGCATGGGCAGTAAATGGGAATGCCGCTCCATCTTTGATCAACCTATGGGACGGTTAGGACGAGGTGTAAAAATATACCGCAAATTCGGATATATATTATGCTACTGACCCTTGAGTAAATGTAAAGCCTGACTGATTTGAATATACGAAATCACTGTATGTTCAGAATCGGCAATGAGAAATCTGTCTACCAAGCAAAATATCGGAGACCGAATTTACCTCCTTAGTGCGTCCACTACCATGAATATGACTCTGTCAAAGGGCGCAGATGATCGAATGTCCCCCGATTCTCCATAAGACATCGCGAGACCGGGAATAAAAGGTTTATAGGGGAAAAAGCCGCTGGCGAATAGTAGAATGGCCAAGGGGAACAACAGGTTTGCAAGGTAACAGGGCCATTTTGGTGCCATGATGTTTTCCAAGGACGAATCAGCAGTTACTTGAAGAACAAAAATTCAAGAAAAATTGATGAAGATTTCGCCCTCATATGCCTCTGATTCTCCATTGCTCGGTCTGGTTGTTGTTTTCTTGCTTATATAGTATTCTGTCTGGCTTTTGGGATGTTCGACTGGCGATTGGCGCGAGAAAACAACGCGAGCCAAGAAAGACCAGGAAAAATAATATTCAAATATGATGATGAAAAAGTCAACGACCACCATTGAAAATTGGATCTAGTTAGCATGTGCTGTGTACACCGATTATCTACAA